CCGGTTCGGGTTGAAAAGAAGATTGTTCGTCGTTGTTAGAACAGGCTCATTATACTCTGCTGGTAAGGTCGAATTTTGTTCTTTTTCGAGCCTACGTTTTATTATAGCGAACGTGACGCGACTCCTCCTTCTTTCTCTCGCGACATAATAAAGGACTAGAAAAAATAGGCGGAGATATACAAATACAATACTATTCGACGAGCCGATGTCTTGCTCAAGAATAATAGTACGTATTTACTTTTGCGATAAAAAAAGAAAAGCCAGCATACTTCATGCCCCCTATTATCGTTATTACCCGAATAGCAATAATCGAATATCGTTAGCTAGAATAGAAATATATACGTAGTTTTTCATTTGTACAGTATTATACGAACTTTGTTGATTGCCTACAATGGCATTTCTTACCGTTACACTTTATATCATACGTAACGAATGAAAAAAATAATCGGCAAAATGTGTTTCTAATGGAATTTTTTAGTGTAACTTGTGGCGAAACAATTCGATATCACGTAGTTTTTAAACGGTAAGTACATTAAATAATATACGTAACGATAATGATAACAAAGAACAATTTAGATTTCTCATTTTTTTTTCATTATAATTATTGTAACATATGACTAGGAATTGTACTTGTTGATTCCAAATGACGTTTTCGGGTTGGGGAAGGAATTATAATTCGTTCTTCTATCATTGTTCTCGTTACTTTCTACACAGTGAAACTCGATATAACGGACCCCTCTCCTGCTATGCTGTCCGGTAAATCGACGGATCCGCTATAACAGACAAAATTTATATAATGTTATTTATAGCTGGTTCCGAAAAATAGTCCGTCCGTTATCGACCAAATTCGCTATATCGAGTTTCACTGTGTATTTGTTCAGGATCATCTAACACTAAAAAGATCCTTTTATTATTTTCATTAATCTTTAACTCCTTGGTGTTGTAAAACAGAAATCAACGAGAATGGAGATATATCGAGTTTCTTTCAAGAAGAGCAACAACTTCATGATGAAACACTTCCAATATCATGCTCGAAACTGGTAAGCATTACATTAAACGGGGTAAAATTTATGATCCTGTGCAACCATAAATTGATCCAAGATACATATTCAACATTCAAAAAGAGATGCTTTCTGATTTTCATGCATTCTTTTACTAGACTGTCGATATCTAAACCATTTAGCTTCAAGTAAATGAAGGTAAAAATAAAATATCCATGACAATACACATTTATTGATGTATTAAAAGACGTAGAATGTATCGTTTTTAAAGAGTGGGATTGAAGAAGAGTACCTAACTAAATGACATGCATAAAAGGAAAATATTGATTTTGACGAACACTCATGTTAATGTAATACTAACACTAACACTAATATTAAATAACTACAAATTGCTAGGACTAAGCAAGTAACAAAATGACATTACGCAACTGTTCTCCAAAAGTAGATTCTCGAGAATCATTTTTATATTGATACGTATGAATAAAATAAATACAAATAAACATAATGATAAAAGATAATCCAAGTATAAAATAAAGTAATTGCTATTTTCTTCCAATACAGCACAGTATTTTTCTTTTGATATTGCCCTATTTTGTTGGTAGTATTTGTCAAATTTGATCACTGGGTGTCGAGATGTCCTATAGGGACCGTTTCAATTTTTGGTGATCAATTTTCATTCACCAAAAAATGAAATGGTTCCTTTATAACATAATATCTCGACATCCAGTAATCAAATTTGAACACAAATACTACTATTTGATTCATCTCGACTAAGGATGCTTGCCTAAATCCTTTCAGAAAAATATCGTCATAATTTTGACGGGTTACACACTAATTGTTAATTAGAATTTCGACATAATTTCGGTTACGACGGGTTTCAAAATTCGTCAGAATTTCGACGGGTTATTTACTAATAGTTTATTATAATTTCGACAGAATTTAGACAGTCACTAAGGGATTTCGGCAAGCAACCTTAATCTCGACTAAATGAATCAAATGATAATACATGTATTTTCGTTCGAATCTGATCACTAAACATCAAGATATTACATTTCTAAAATAACATTCATTTTTGTTAAGATCAAAAAAAATGAATTTGACATAGTATCTCAACATTTAGTGATCAGATTCTAACAAAAATATCGCCATTTGATTCGTCTTGACTAGACAAATCAAATGGCCTTATTTTTGTTAGAATCTGATCACTAAATGTCAAGAATTAGATATTGAGATGTGTTTTGTGATACAGAACTTTAATGAACATAGAACACCCGATATAGAAGTTCTACCAACTTGAAAGGTGTAGATCATTAGCATTTGTGTTAATCGTTATTATTCTTTGTTTTCATAAATTTTTAGGATGTTACGCATGATTTATAGAAAGTTAGGGATGGTCGGATACTTATGATTGCTACTGTATAAAATGACCCTGTGAATTAAAGAAAACATTATCGTTATCTTTGTGGGAAGTTTCGTGTGATTTTCACATACAATATTTGTATTACGCCATATGTAATATTGTATGTCTGGAAAAATTCTACGGTAATAGAAATTATTGTTAAAGATTAGGATTAGGGTCAGGGTTAGAACTGAGGTAAAGTTTATATACAAAATTGCCTTCCTGACATTTTTTATTAGTGTACCAAGCTAGATTTCGACATCTGTTTCCCGTATTTTTTACATTTTTTGTTTTTTTCACTTCTTTGTTTTGCCGCATTTTTATTGGTTTGTACCACCTGCAGAAAAAAATTTGCGTTCATGTATCGAAACTTCCCACAACAAAAATAAAGATAATAACGATAACGATAATATTATCCAGGCTAGGATGCATACTTTATAAATAGTATTGGAAAACAAACAAATTATATATGTATATGAATGTATACAGTCAACTCTCTAAATGCACGCCGCCGGGAGACATGAAAATCAAATCTGAGCGTCCATTTAGAGGTTTGTGCATTTATAGAGAGCATTATTAACCGAATCGAGGTGTGCATTTATAGAATAGAAACATATTTAGTGTGGCATTTAGAGCGTGTTGACTGTATTAATAAATTCACTATATCAAGAGTATTTATTATACTATTTTTGAGCTCAAGTTTACTATATCAAGAGTTTAATTAGTCTGTAACGAGAGTGACTTGTAACAATAAGTACGTATATATAATCTGCCTGTTATTTTTCTCGAGCTCTGTGAACTTTTAATTAAAATATAGCTATTAAATCCGAAAAAATGTATTTTTATCGTATTTTATTTTTCATTTTACTAGCTCAACTTTTTGATGAAGCAAAAGTGTTTGCTAGTATTATACCAAAAACTGTTTCAAAATGCCGTTCGATTCAAGGTATTTTTATTATGGAGCTCAAATAGCCTAATAATGTTGCTTTTTTTATCAAATATTACATTATATTAGGGCCAGAGGCATGCGAAGATATTGTAATTCACCATCAAAGTGGCATCGCATTCATGGCTTGCGGCTCAGAAATTGGACGACGAACGCAATGGTGGCCGCCAATTGATCAATTAAATACGCAAACTCAACCACGTGAACAACCTTGGATCTATAATTTGGAGGTATGGAATTTCTTATTTTTATTTTTTGATTGAAAACTTATTCTACTTTTATTGAAAATAGACCGATGAGATTTTCCCAGTATCACTCAAGAATTTCCCGAAGGATACTGATATCGCTCTTCATGGCCTGGGAATGTATGTTGACCCTTATAACTCGAATAAAATAGCATTATTCTTTGTCAACCACCGTCGTTCGGGAAGCGTAATAGAAGTATTCGACCACACAATCGGCACCAAAGAGCTTATTTATCGAGAAACCGTCTCAAGTGAACTTATTGTTACACCTAATGATGTGACGCCAGTTTCGGCCAATGAGTTTTACACGACAAATGATCGTCGATATACATACAAGCAAGAAAAACTTAGACAATTTGAATGTATTGTATTACTGTATGCATACGTATTTATCAAAAATAATGAGCTAAATAACATTTCTTTTTTAGCTGACACAGGACGCTCATGGACCAATGTGATATTTCATTCGTCGAAAAATGATACTACATTTATTGCAGCTGAAGGAATTTCATACGCTAATGGAATTATTGCCAATTGGAATTATACTCGTATTTACGTTAATTCAGTAGGAACAGGAGAAACGATAATTTACGATAGACGTGAGGATAATCTATTACTTGAAATAGAACGCGTTCACATTGGAGTTGCTGTTGACAATCAATCAATAGATGAAGTATCCGGCGAAATTTATGTTGCAGGTAAATATCTAAAGATTAAAAAACTCTATTAAATTTTAATCATTTATTTTATATAGGTTTCCCAGATGTACCAGCAACGTTTAAATACCTTCTAGATCCAACTGGAAAATCTCCTCCACCTCCTGTACTTATTGCCAAAATTTCTAATGTCACCAAGAAAGCGCATCCACTTCTTGGTAGCAATTACCAAGTGACAAAAGTACTAGAAACTAATGGAAGTGACTTCAATTCTATTTCTATCGCAGCTGTTGATAGAAAGCGTAATGTAATCTTGCTTGGCTCTATTCTAAATAAGGGTATTACCAGATGCGATTTAGAATAATGATGAATTTTTATCATATATTGCTATAAATAAACCTTACATATAAATATACAAGCTGAAAATACATTATAAATCTAACTATTAAGAAAGACTATAGACACCTATTTTGTGTAATAATGAAATTAATCACTTTCGTATTCACTAACTTTGATATTTCTAAAAAAAAAATACATATCGATATTAATATTAAATAAAATTTATATCGATATGATTAAAATCAGCAAAACCTGTACTTTGAGTTCCGCAAAAAAGTCTGGTTCAGTTCGAGCTTGAACCTAACCTAAAGTCTGGTTTAAAAGATTCAAGCCCAATCAAAAGTCTGGTTCAAGTTCAGTTTGAACTTTAAACATTTACTTGAACTTAAACTGGACTTTTGGCCAGTTTTGAGTTTGGTTCAAAGTGATTCTAAATAAAATTGTAAATCATAATTAGAGCTATAAATTGTTCATGTAAATTTAAAAAATATTTTCAATTATTATAATTTTCAATCCACTTTAGTTAATTCTTAATAAATATTATAAATTGTTTTTATAAATAAAGTTGCAACTAAGAATGCTTGCTGAAATTAGAGAATTTTAGCAAGATGCTAAAATGCTAAAACTGAAATTATAATAAATTATTAATATTTAACCTGTTAAAATTCTATAAAAATTTTAGTAATTCACTAAAAATTGAAGTTATAATAAATTATTGAAAAGTGATCTATTTTCAGATGATTAAATTTAATCTGTGTTAATATATTATTATAGTATAACATAAAAATTATTTCAAAAATAATTGAAAACATGAAATATCCAAAAATATTTAAATAATAGCAAAAACTTCTCAAATTATTTTATCATTTTATTTTAATTTTCATTATTTTATTTTAATTTTCATTATTTTAATTAATTTTTATCATTTTATTTTAATTTTCATTATTTTATTTTAATTTTCATTATTTTAATTAATTTTTATTACTTTTTGATTACTTTTCATTATTTATTTTACTTTTGATTACTTTTTATTACTTTATTTTATTTTTTATCATTTTTTGATTATTTTTTATTATTCACTTTACTCTATTATTAGTTTTATTAAATTATCTTATTTTTAGCTAGCTATCATATTTTGAAATTGTATTTTTTAAAAATATATAAATAGAAATACTTTCTGAGTTTTAACTCAATATGTTGCAAATGAAAAATAAAATTATTTTTTAATAAAAATCTTCTTTCTAACAATATTTGCATCTTTCACTTTTAATTGCACATATCAAAGCTTATGTACAAATGGTTTTGAATCATATTATGCTGAACAAAATACTATTATTAACTTTGAACTTTATATCATACTATATTGAACAAATTACTATTATTAAATTATTAGTTTTATATTATATTATACTATTATTAAATTTATTAATTTTGATTAAGTATTTGATTTTTATTATTTTGATTTTGTTATTTTTGAATTTAATATTTTGGTATTTCTCATTTATAAAAAGAATAATATAAGAGTTTTTGTTATTATTATTACTAATTGTATTATTTTAGCTCTAAAAAGCTTAATGCAAATACAAAAAATTAGCATTTTAAAATTTTTTTATCATTTATTCTCTTATTATTTTACATTTTTTCTTTTCTCTTTTGATCTTTACTTTTCTATAACTCTTTTATATCATTATTATATCTTTGAATTATTACAATTTTCCATAAAAATTAACATAGAACTTAAATATTTCTCTTTTTTTAATATTTTATTTAATATTTAATTTTCTTTTTCAATCTAGTTTCAAATTTATAAGCTAATTTAACAATTAATAAATAAATTTGTAATAATATTCTTTTTTATATAATAGAGAATAATTTTTATCAGAATTTACTTTTATAAATTAGCTTATTAAATTAGTTAATATATTATTTTATAAATTTAGTTTATTATAAGATTTCAAGTTTATATTATTCTTTAATTTTTGTTAAATTCTAAATTGTTGCTCAAAACAATATTTAAAATTTATATAATTTTAATTGTTACTAATTCAATCTCACAAAGTATTATCATATAAATTTTATTATTTATTAAATTATAATATAGTAATATCTTCAAAATATTTATAAACAACTTGTATTTTTTAATGATTAATAATTTTATTAACTAATATCATTATTTTAAAATCTTATAATTATTTTACAGAATCTTAATCTTCACCTTTATATTTTTGAATTTGATTAATTATTTTTCTTATTGTTCTAATTATTTAGCAATATAACTAAGTAATTAATTATATTAATAATTTGTTAAGTGATTATTATAATTATTTTGTAATAAATACTAAATAATTAAAATAAGTATCAAATTCAAATATAAAGTCATAATTATTGGTAAAAAATTTTATTATTATTTTAGTATTTTAATTGTTTTATAATAGAAATTATTATATATATTAGAATTTTTTTGAATTCTTGATTAAAAAAGCTTTTAAGTATTGTTCTAATTAATAATAGTTATATTTAAGATTATATTTATTTTGATAAATTAAAATATTTAATAATTAAATTACTTATTTTTATAGTTCTTTAATTTTGACAGTATTAAAATTTGCTTCAAAAATATCTTTAAATAATTACTTAATAATAAAAAAATCCAGATAAGAAAATTAACTAAAAATTTAGTAACTATATTAAAAAGTAAGTAATAAATATAACAAAAATATTGTTAAATTATTTAAAGTATTGTTTTTTAATATTAATTTTTCAGATAAATATTAAAATATGAGCTAATAGATTTTTTAATAAAAATATAATAATTATTTATAAAAAGAGTTTTAAATAAGAAATAATAATAATTATAAATATAAGTATTCACAAAAAAATTATAAAGAAAATATTTATTTTTGATAAAAAATTTTAATAAATAAAAAATTTAATTAAATTTATAAAACAAAAAGATTTTAAAATTAATAATTCAAGTTTTGAAAGAATTCATAAAGAGTGCACCAAAATATGTTACAATTATTTTAAATAAAGAACTTCTTCACTTTTGGTAAAGGAGTCATATGAATTAAAAGAGAGAAATAGATTAATAAATTGGTCAATACAAAAATAAGTATCTAAACTTATATTATTTTAATAAGAATTATTAAAAAAAAAGAAGAGTATAATTCTGGTAAAAAGTAATAGTAAAACATATTTTTTGTAAATATTTTGGAAAGAAATTATTCAAAAATTATGAAAATTTATATAAAGATTTTTTAGGATACTAGAAACAAGATTTGCTAAGATTATAAAGTATATTAATATAATAATATTTTGTATTATTTAATATTAAAATTAATGAACTGGAAATTATCTTTATTAAGTAGATTAAAAATATTATTTTGAAATATTTTTAAAAATTAACTTTATATAGTCAAAGAAATAAAACTAAGTGAGAGAAAGAGTACTAGTATAATTAAAAAAGAAATCAAAAGATTACTATTATTATGATAATAAGCTTTTTAATTATATTTTCCAAATAATTCAATCTGTGACTAATCGTCAAGTCAACTAAAACTATTTATTTTAATTTGAGAGAGCAGATCCTTTTATACATGTTTTCGAATACAAAAATTACTATAGTATTACTAATTAATACTATTTAATATACATATTTTGTAATTTCAGATTAAGATTTTCAGATTAAGATTTTGAAAT